ATTGGTTTAATAAATAAATGACTCGCAACTGATCTATAATCTATAAGAACAAATAAATAATGTATTTTTATCAGTTTTGTTAAGATAAAACTTAAAATAATAATTAATGATGATGTTTATATTGATTTTAAAATTATTTAACGTATAAATGATGATGATGATATATAACATCATATTTAAGATTGTAATTGATCAATTATGGTTAGATGTCTTATTAATCATAATGGTATCAACACAGATGATTATCATCCTTCCTGTCAATAATCAAGACTATTTAAAATACTCATTTTAATCCTTTACCCTCCTATTGGCAACTGGAATTGTCATTTGTAGAAACATTGCAGAAAATAAAGGAAGCGTTGGATTCAAAAACGATCAAAACCTTTTTCATAGTAAACATTATGGACTATCAATTGGTAAAAAAAGTCTTTTTTTTTCATTCCTCGGTCTTTGAAATATCGGATCTTCAAAATAGATAATTTTGAAAAAAAATGAAAAAAATTGAAATTTGTCAAATAAAATATTCTATACCCATAGGCAATAGAGATCTTTTGGAATTTTTGTGCGATATTAATTGATGAAGAAGTCCACTAATGAATAAAATATATTTCAAAAGTTTTATGATAACTTAAAGAATTACACATGCTCACACACACTATTGATTGATCATGTAGTCACTATTAGATAGATGGAGGACAATTAAGAACAAACTTAATATATGTATTATGAACTTCAACTCATGACAAATTGAAATAGTATTTATTATGAATTAAATTTCTTCTGAGATCATAAAATGGCTTAGAGCAAAAAAGATTCTCATTTGACAACACGTGTAAAAAACGCATGCATTCTTTGGTATTAATTTTTATCAGTTCACAACTGTTTCTTTTTCCATTTTTTCTAAAGCACAAGATACATGTTGCTTCTGCCCACTCAATAATGTGGTCAAAGAAAAAAAACCTCAAGTCTCCTGATGTGGTTCAAATCCCTTTTTCCACCATATGATCGGTGAATCTATCGAGCCGTCCTACTCTAGGAGCAAGACATTCAATGGATCAGATCATATCATTGGCATATTAGAGAGATTAATACTTTATTTATAAAGTTATTTTATTAGTGGCTCTTCTGGAACCGCTATGAGAGGTAAAAGTTTAAATAAATAAATAAATATGAAAATGTATCGAGACGATGTACTGTTTCATCATCAATTAATAATTTAAGAAAATCATTTAGAATTGTTCAAAGTTATTTTTATAAAATAAAACTATAGATCTTACGAAAGCATAGCTATTTGAAAGTAAAACTTTTAACTTTAAACACAGGAATGAAAGTGACTACTATCACTAGAAATCACTTATTTATTTGTTTAGTTAGTTTTTTTAATCTATTTTCTAATATTTACATTGTTTTTTTGTTCAACAATCAAATATCATGATAAGTTTAAACAGAATAATTTACTTTTTTGTTTTTATTCGCTTTTAATTTTACCATTGAATATGATAAATAAATAAATAAAAACGAAGTACTTTTAAGTTGTTTATTTTCAGATATTTGTATTTAAGGAATGAAGGAAAGGTAACAAAATGTTTACTATCCGGATATTAATCTAACATAATCTGACTTTAGGATTGTTCAACCTAAAAATCAATAAATTTAAATATGTACTTTTCGAGTAGACTGAAAAATGGCAAGAGAAGAACGATGTCTTTTGATCGTCATGTATACATCCTTATTTGTTTTGCAATTTGTTGAATTTTTAGATACTACGTTCATCTGAACTATTTTCAGTAGATAAGTTGTTTATATTCTAGCTCTGTTGTCTCAATTACGTTGTAGATGAAGTCAAATCTCACTTTTTAGTACTTAGTTTGAATATTGCTGGAAGAAGACATTGTTCAAGTTTTTTTTATCACCGATTCAACACTAAAAACCAACATTTCTTTTTCTTGTTTAAGAATAGATTTTATTTAAATAAATAATAAAAAAAAAAAAACGTCAAATATATCCAAGGTATCGCTCATTGATGATGTTTCCGGTAATGGAGCGAGCACGGAGCTATTATAATGCATTTACCCTTGATACACTTGGAACTGGCGCAAAGTGGATATGTCCATGGGGGACATTTGGCTTCACAATAATTAGGATGAAAGCATGGACCAGAATCCTTACAAGTGTCATTAATCTTTTGTGAGCAAGCAGAAATTATGCAACAGCGTCCATTGGTGCACACCGATTGAGTACAGGATGGTCCATAGCCAATTTTACAATCAGCACATACTAGCGGATGTATACATTGACTGGCATTTGTGCATTGACAAATTGAGCACGGTGCAATAGATTGACATTTGTCGTTGACACATTCGGCCGATGCACATAAAGGTCCACAACCGAGAGGGCATGAGAGACGACAGAGTTTCGATGAAACACATCCGCTAGATGAACACGATGTTGAAGGCCAATTGATGCTTGCAGGTGCACATTCAATGATGAATGTAGCACAAAAGATAAATAAAAAACATTTTAAGAGCATAAACATACCTGAATGTACTTTATGTATAAAATAGAATGATAAAGAGATAATTTCTGTATTTATATAGTTGATTTATTAATACATGGAGTTACGCCCATTGATATATCACGCCTTTTTCTCATTTCATTTGACGTCATACATCATATAATAGGTGTACGCTTATCATGAAGAATAAACAATGATTCATTGAAAAAAATATGATGTACTTTGTTTGTGTCCAACGATACATAATTTTCATTTGTGAAGATGTCTTTTGTTATTTGTTCTTTTCTTGAAGAGAATCTTACTGAGGAATTTGTTCTAAAGTCAAGTTTAGTTTGGAGATATTTACGAAATAAGGAGACTATCAGTCTTATAAAATATTCATTCGAATACTACATTAATGAAATTCGTCACAATGATCAACATTAAAATTAAACCAATGAAGGTTTATTTGTATTAAAGAAGAATAATACACATAGAAATCAACAAAATAAATAACAATATATTCAATATAACTATGAATATTTAGTAAATTCTTCTAATTGTTTAGAATACATTATCATGAGAGTAAACTGTAATTACTTGAGACATTTACCATAATCCATATAATTTTTACTTGGTTTGAATCTTCTATCTGTAGTTATTTGTTCTATTTCGTTATAAATATAATTGTCATATATTTGTAGACGTTCGAAAAATCCAAAAGACGGATGCTGACATTCGATCACAGTTTCTCATCGTTAATACGCCGCCCTTACCCTCAACAGTGATATGTACGAATAAATTGCATGCATGTGTAAATGATGAAGAATAACTTCTCTCCTCTCCTCTCTATTCTATGGTTTTTAATCAAGTAATTATAATGACATTCAAGCGACTGTTCGCATAAAGAACCACATGCAATAGGTTTTCCTATTCGACAATCAATTCTGAAATACAAACAAATAAAGTTCATCGAGAATCGATTCGCTTATCCCTAGACTACTGACAGGATATGGATATCCATGGAATTGCTTTTAGATGTAAATATGCATTAAGCACACTATTGCATTTACCATTATGAAATTGTTTGAAAAAGTTACTTTCATCGAAAATATAAATATACTGTCTTATGATACTTCGCATGTCAGAATAATATCAATGCACATTAGACTATTCACTCGTTTTTGAAATATTTTCATCGACTGATACTTTACTCTTACTAAAGCGTTTTTAAATTGTGGAAAATAAATAAGAGATAAATACATTTATCTATTTTTGAATATTTTCTTCTTCGAATAATTCAATTTTAAATTGTACACAAATTCACAGTCAGTTCCAAATATCATCAGAAATCACTTTTATAGATGTTTAATGATCTATCTCCTCATAGACATTAATCTGAATTTCAAGACTCATGTACATACTTCTAATAAATTCCATTCATAATAGTTGTTGTTCTAGATTGCCAAAGAAACCCCCTTGATGGGACGAATTTTTTCTATTTATATTATTATTCATCTCTCTATTAATAATTAAAAAATAAAATTAATAACACGTGTTTTTTTTTCAATTCATTTATATTACCGCTATTCATAGTTAAAACAGAATCATATTAGATTATTTTTATCACATAATTTAAAAAGAAGATTTTCGTTTATCATAATTCTATGATCAAATTTACTCAACAGGTTATAATTTATGAAACAATGATATGCTCATCTGTACATGATTAAACCAAATTCAATTAGACTTAATAATTTATTAAGAATGTTCGTCAACTTAACTTTTATATAGTTCATATTAATCTATTAATTTCAACAGCAATAACTAGATGTTTAATGTCTTTATAATCTTTCTTGACATTGTTTGGATAATAATTACTAGTTGCTCAATTATATCATAGTTGCCAGATAGTTACTTGAGTTACAGTTAATTAATGGTCATTTATGCGAAAGTTTATCATATGGTAACTATGTTACAGACAGACAGACAGACACATGTGAATTTCCCTTTCTAGATTCTATTCTTGCTGTCTAGAGAATAAATTATTTAATATCTTTATAGAACTTGCATCGATCGTATATTTATATACAGTTGAACGGTGATCGGTTTTGAAGTTATGTCACGTGATATCTGTAATCAAAATTGAAATTAAGACATTGAGCAAAATTCATAATAGTATTAGAGTTTAAATGTTTGAACCTCATACAAAGAGATAATTGCAACTTCGATAATAATGAATACGTGTAATCTTACAATTCTTCTGTAAAAGTTCAATTTCGAATGTATTATTCGACGAACTTAGTATCAATGATTATACAACAATTCAAATCAAAGCATAAATGAATGTATTCGTTTTTTGGTAAATTTTCTTCAACAATACAATATATTGTTTACTTTGTTAAATTATTTCGAACTAAGAAAAAAATATTATTATTATTGTTGTTAATGTTAAGATAGAACAGCAAAAAAAAAATTAATTTTATTTTTTATAACATAAAAAGCTCTAACCATTTACAGATGAATGACAAAAAGGACAGACATCAAGACAAGCCATTTCACTTTCTAATCCTTGATGTTTACAAGCTGGACGAATCCAAAAAGCATATTCAATAATCGGTTTACCACTGGCAATACATGATGGACAATTGAGACACCTAATAATATAGAAATAAATTATATGTGGAACTATAAGGAGATAATTATAGAAATTTACTTTTTAAGATTCATCCAAAGTTGTATAAACTCATTTTTTGCTCGCTTTTGCTGAAAATAAGGATATCGGCTACTTCGCCCCTCTCCTAAATCCCCTACTGTCCGTTTTTGACTGAATAAATTGAGATCAAAATCGTTATTCAAATGATTTAGATGAAACATTTTCTACTTTAATTTTACATGTTGATAATATCAAGAAAAATCATTGATATCTTATTTCGTTATTCTTTCTTATCATTTACATCCAAAGCGAAGAATCTGTGATTTATGCTCTTTTCCTTCGTATAAAAACTAACTTTCAATGTAGGATCGAATACGCTCTAGTCTTTTCCAATTTCGAAAAACCTAATGAAAAGACCTGAAAAGTGACTATAAATTTTTCGATGATTTTTGGTCTACAAATATCTCGTTTTGTAGTTAAAAGATTTATAATCGTCTTTATCTAAAATCTGAATATAAAACTCAAATGTTAATTCCTTTCATTGGAATATTTCTGTTTTTGTAATAACATACCAATCATTAATTCTATTGCTACATTGTAGACATTGTCCCGAGAGTGTAGGACGTTTGTGTTTTGGTTGTGAGCTAAAAAAAAAGTAATTATAAATGAACAACAAAAGAAAAGATGAATTCATCTGAGAAATTAAACAAATACAAAAAGAAAAAATAAATTAATAACATAGATCAAAGTGATTTACTAAAATATCCTTTAATTCCAACAAAAAATGTAACAAGTACAGTCATAATTAAAACTCCAATAATAATTCCACCTAAAACATATGTTAAAACTAAATTTGTATATAAACGATTTGAAAGTTGTCGTGCTTCATTATTAAATTGAGGATGATTTTTTTTTAATAAATATCGAATTTTTATTGATTGAATAAGACAAATAATACCAGCACACATCCAAAAACAACTTAAACAAGCACATAATGATGGTTTAAAATAATCTTTAATTGGACTTTCTTGAATTATAATTTGATTTTTTGAAGATCGTTTATACTTATCAAAACAATAAGGTCTATCAATTTTTGATGATGATTCAATAATTGGTATACAATATTCTTCTTGATTATTTTTATATGGATTACAATTAAATACATAATTATATTGAGATTTTTTCCATAAAACTAATGAATTTTTATCTAAATGATGTACATCCAGTGGTTGTTGATTTGCTACTTGTTTCATTGTGTAAAATGTCAATTAGAAGGTGACTTGCCATATAACTCAAAATGCGCGAGAGAAAAAAAAACAGAACAAAAAATGAAGAAGATCAAGATTTTGATAGCAACATACACACACAAAAAAAAAAACTTGTGAAGGAGGAAAAAAGAAAAGAAGAACGAACAAATAATGCCGTGTATTGATTTCTTTTTTTTTCTTTAGCAACATACCTACGAAATATTTGAAAGGCTAATTTTTGATATTCTTTTCGATCTTCTTCACCTATAGATGGATTATCTTCAAGTTTAAGAAATGCTTTACTTGTTGTATTATATGCACCACATAATATTGTACAAAGTGCTAAAAAAAATAAAAAATAAAAAAGAGAACATTAGTTTCATCCCTCAAGTAATAATGACAGCCTCGCCCTAAAAAATTGAAAGTGAAATGAATAGCTCGAGGTCCAATCTTTCATAAACAACATATATTTTTTTGGTACCTCGTTTTTTTCTTTTGATGATTTTGTTTGAAAAATATACTTTTTTTTGAGCTATATTTCATGTTTTGAAGATTGTTAATGTCTATTATTTTTGTAAGAAGTTGTTCACATATTTTATATTATTACTTGTCATTTTTCTGAGAGTATCGTCTCTCTCATGATGTCATCAGAGTAATTTTTAAATGTTCTATGAAGTATCCGCTACAAGTGTTCTCTGTGGGTATGAATCGTCAATCCATCCACACACTCAATAATTATCCCTAGTCCTTTTTTTTTGTTTCATTTCATTCCGTGCTTTTTGAGCATATTGAAATGCAATCTACATTCAGAAAAAGAAATACAAATATAACGACAAAATCGTCAATTGTTGATAAAATATATAACTCTCTTTAGATGCTTGTACAAGGTAACATAAACACTCAAAATTGAATTGTAATGGATATAGTATAAATAATGGTACCATGCATATTTCCTATTTATTTTGGTCATGTTTGTAGATAGAAAACTGCACTTAGTCTCAACATATTCGCTGTTTTATGCTCTACAAAATCGTGCGGTAGTCTTCGATCTAACGTTCTCCCTCGGACAAAAAAAAACTACCTTTGTCTATTAGCTCGTTCTCTTCTATAGCTCATCGTTATATCTTTAGTTTCATATATATGGATAGAGCGTGAGTTAAATTACTTATATATATTTACAAAAACAATACACTAACTTACTAGCCTAGATTTTTTAAATATATATATGTAGTTTAACTCACACTCTATCCATATATATGAAACTAAAGATATAACGATGAACTATAGGAGAGAACAAGCTAATAGAAAAGGTAGTTTTTTTTTGTCCGAGGGAGAGTGAAGAATCATGAGAAGAGTAAATTCGTCTAAAGAATATTCAACTAAAGCTATTGATGAATGTAATAAGGGTGTGTATCATCTGTAACACCATAAACATAAAAGAAAACTCTTCAAAAGTGAATTCAGAATGTCAATCAACTAAGTCAACAATAAAAATCAGCAGAATATCTGCTTTTTCAAATAGTTCTATCATCACAATGTGCACTTACTTATATCTATTTTTTTTCTTCAAACTTATTATGGTATCTTATCATTTATATACAAGCAAGTAATTTATACAGCTTTTTTGCCAACATTCTTTTCTGAATACATCTGTATGAAATAGTTCTTTTTCTCTACAATCAGGATCTTATGAGATAACGTCTATGTGGCTATTTCGATTTAATATTTCATCAGGACATCGCACAATTATTTGTTTTTGAATATTAATCGTTTTTCTTTTTAAATATCTATTTACATTTTTTACGAATCTAATTACTCCGTGAACTTTAAATGGACTATTTACTCTTATTATTTTAAAAGTATACAAAACTATTGATGGAAATAAATTTAATAGCACTATCATGTTTCTCAATTTTATGATCAGTTTATTCTATCAAATTCAGATTTATTCTATTTTGATTCACAACTAGCACCTTTCACCAATGTTATGCCAAATATACGATTGTTTGCCATATCATACTTATTTTTCCGCATCTTATTTACAATAAAGCACACAATAATAGAAAGAAGATGTGGAAACGCACAAAAGCTTTTATATTTTGCATCGAAACGAAATTGTGGTTGAATTTTGGGTGTGGGTGGAAAGATGATCCTAATAATCACAGCCACAGTCACACCCCACACCCTATAGTGTTTTCTATTTTAATCTCGTAAAGATTGTACTAACAGCTTTTTTTGAATGAATTTAAAACCAATAATAATGTCTAATGAAGAAAAAGGAGGGGTAGATGAAGGTGAGGGATTCGCTTCATAGTCAATCATCCACCATCAACCTCATCTCTTGAGTCGGATGACTGTTGAGCTGAAACAGACGTACGGAGATACACTACATTGTGTTCTATTAATATGATTTATTTTTCTCTGTCTCTTCTTTGTCTAACATTTTTCATTCGTAAACAAATCTTGTCTTTCTACTAATGTGCGACATTACTTTTTCTATTTTTCTATTGCGTTGATTAATGACCAAGCAAGAAGCAAGGGTGTGGGTGTGGATGTTAGTTTCAGATATATACTCATGTACTTCCATACCTCCACCCCACCCGCAACCACCCAAACTCACACCCACACCCAAATCCTCAAGTAGTTTTGAATCTTTCTAGTCTGGTAATGTTTCGAAAAATCTAATGAATTTGTTATCTTTAAAATTTTGTAGATCGTTACTCAACATATGCTTGATAGACTCAATATAATGGTAAAATATACGGCTATGAAACCCATTTACGATACAATGTTACTAAGTGTGTAACTCTGACTCGGACTGTAGATTTAAAAGCAAGCTCTAACTCTTATCTGCATCGACACCCACATCTCGTACTTATCTCGGCTACTCAGTCAGAATAACAGTGAGAACAACATCGATGCATTTTATTCACATCGTCATTTTTCTTTTCTTTCGATGACGAAATCTTCACATTTATTTTTTTTTCGTTCTTGCTCTTCCACCCTTATCGATTCAGGTAGACTTCATCGTTGTCGCTTTGTCAACAACATTGGGTAAAAAACGAATGGTTGTGAGGAGATGCTGACAACAACAAACATAAAACACACTCATACCTGCAAAAGTAACTAGCGAGAGAAAAAGATCAACAAAAGAAGAAAAAAATATATATATATATACAGGGAAGACGAAGTCTTTCTCATTGCATTCGTTATTCATCGATTCGTTATTATGGACAAAAAATCATCGAAAACAAGCGCTGCTGGTGAAGCAAAAAAATCAACATCAACAACCATCATTCAGAACAATGCAACTAATACATGTCGTGTTCGACGCGTACTACAAAATTTTCTTCTGATCTGGCTCGACGCCAATATTGATGAGTCAAATGATGATTTTAAGCATTCATTAACTCACCTTCGACATATCGTAGCATCGATCACAACATTTACAGATCCTAAAGAATGTACTAATTTTCTACACGAAATTCAATCAGAAAAGGTATTTATGATTGTTTCTGGTTCACTTGGGCAAAATATTGTACCCAAAATTTATACATGGTCACAAGTGCACTCAATTTATGTATTTTGTAACAATCGATCGGTTCATGAAAAATGGGCTAAAAAAATTTTAAAAATAAAAGGTGTTCATACTGAAATCGAGTCTATTTGTGAAGCATTAAAAAAAGACAGTGCACGCTGTGATCGAGCTTTGATCTCAATCAGTTTTCGTGGTATTGATGCGTCGTTTATGTACACACAATTGATTAAGGAAGCTCTCTTGGAAATTGATGATGATGATGCTAGTGATAAGAAATCTATCAAAGATCTTGCTGAGTACTGTCGTCTTCAGAATGATATCGCTACAGATGAGATTGAAAAATTTGAACGTGAATATCATCAACATACACCCATTTGGTGGTATACTGCACCATTTTTCATCTATACCATGCTCAATCGAGCTCTACGGTTGCTTGATGTTGATATCATTCTAAAAATGGGTTTCTTTATTCGACACTTACATCGACATATTAAACAATTATATCACGAGCAACAATCTACAATGCGAACACCAGCAGTTCTAACAGTATATCGAGGACAAGGTTTATCCATACAAGACTTTGAAAAAATGAAACAAAGCAAAGGAGGATTTATGTCATTTAATAATTTTCTATCAACCAGTCGTGATCGAAATCTTTCGTTGAATGCATTCGCACGTCCAGCAGCTCTTCAAGATCCTGATTCAGTTGGTATACTATTTGTAATGACTATAGACTCGAAACTGTGTGTAGCATCGTCAACATCCTATGCTGAAGTCAACAATCTGAGTTTTTTCAATGACGAAAATTCTGAAATTTTATTCTCTACACACACCATCTTTAGTATTGGCCATATCAAACCTATCCAGGATCAAGATAGTGAGCGATTATGGGAGGTCAGTTTGACTTTCACAGGCAACAATGATCATGATTTAAATGCACTCACTAAACACATGCGTGAAGAACTCAGTTGGATGAAAGGATGGTCTCGACTAGGCGGTATACTTATTAAAATGGGACAATTTGCTAAAGCAGAACAACTGTATGAACTACTTCTCGAGAACAAAAATGAAGATAGCGATCGAGCAAACTACAAGTATCAACTTGGGTTGGTGTATTTTAACATGGGCAATTACGCAAAAGCGCTTACATCTCTCGAACAAGCTCTTGCTGTTCGTAAAAAAGTCTTACCTTCAAATCATGCAGATTTGGCTACCACTTACAATACCATTGGCTTGGTATATTTCAATATGGGTCAATACGAAAAAGCACTTTCAAGTTACGAACGAGCGCTTGCTATTCATGAAAAAATATTACCTTCAAACCATTCAGATATGGCAACCTCCTACAATAATATCGGCTTATTGCACTCCAATAATGGAGAATATTCGAAAGCACTTTCGTTTTATGAACGAGCACTAGATATTCGCCAACAAACTCTCCCACCCTGTCATCCAGACATTGCTTTTTCCTACAATACCATTGGCTTAGTATATTCAAACATGAGTGAATATTCAAAAGCACTCTCATTTTACGAACGAGCTTTGGATATCCACCAAAAAACTCTCCTTTCAAATCATCCAGACTTGGCTGTTTCCTACAATAACATCGGTAACATATATTGTGTAATAGGCGAGTACTCAAAAGCACTTGCATCTCACGAACAAGCGCTTGATATCTACCGAAAATCTCTTCCTCCTAACCATCCATACTTTGCACAATGTTACAACCATATAGGTATGGTTTATCAAAATATGGAAGAATATTCGAAAGCACTGTCATACTTTCAACAAGCACTTGATATCTGTCAAAAACTTCTCTCACCGAATCATCTAGACATGACCTCTTCTTACAATAACATTAGCTTAGTAAATTCTGACATGAGTGAATATCCAAAAGCAGTTTCATTTTACGAACGAGCTTTGGATATCCACCAAAACTCCTCCCCTTCATATCATCCAGATTTGGCTACTTCCTACAACAACATCGGTAACATATATTCTATAATGGGCGAGTACTCAAAAGCACTTGTATCTCACGAACAAGCGCTTGATATCTACCGAAAATCTCTTCCGTCCGATCATCCCCATTTTGCACAGTCCTATAATAATATGGGTATGGTTTATCAAAACATGGGCGAGTACACTAAAGCGCTATCATATTTCAAACAAGCACTTGATATTTGTCAAAAAAGTCTTCCTCCAAACCATCAACACTTTGCACAATCCTACAATAATATAGGTATACTGTATGAAAACATGGGTGACTATGCAAAAGCCCTTTCATTTTTCGAACGATCACTTGACGTAAAAAAGAAAACTCTTCCTTCAATGCATCCGCATATTGCCAAAGAGAAGAAAAACATCGAACGTGTTAAACAGAAAATGTAATAAATATTTTTCTAGCCAGAATTAATCACATCAGCTCGACACTTTCTCACAATCGGCTATAAGTTTTATACTTTCCTTTACTATCTTGAGTGTGGGAGTGGATTGTGATTGAGTGCTGGTTCGTGCATGTAGTGTGTTAGTAAGTGGATCGGAAAGTTTGCATTAGTTATTTCGTCAAGTGTGTGTGTGTTGGTGTGGGTGTAGGTGTGGGTGTGTGGGTGTGGGTGTGTGGGTGTGGGTGTGTGGGTGTGGAGTGTGGGTGTGGGTGTGGGTGTGGGTGTGGGTGTGAGTGTTGGTTTCGATGAAAAGAAAACAGACACCCACACGTCCACACCCACACACCCACACCCACACCCACACACCCACACCCATATCCATACCCGACACCCACACCCACACACCCACACCCACACACCCACACCCACACACCCACACCCATATCCATACCCGACACTCACACCCACACACCCACACCCACACACCTACACCCACACACCCACACCCACACACCCACACCCACACACCCACACCCATATCCATACCCGACATCCA